TTTTCCTTTAAAACTGCTGATGATCGCGATACCCGGTTGAAATACCCGGTCGGGTATTTCGGGTCTCGACCGGGTATAATTGAAACGCGCGTTTTGCCTCAGGGGAAATCCCCGACCGGGTATTTTTGCCTCCTGCCGGGGCCCCCTTTTGTTTCTCATGGACGCCCAAAGCCAAAAATCCCCGGTCATGGCCAGATAATACCCGGTCGGGTATTTCTGCTCATGGCCGGGTACTTTTGCTCTCCAGCACACTTCAAGCCTCACTTGCTCCTTTCGACCCGAATCTCGTTCCTTCGCCTCGATTCCAACGCCGGGTCCTGAAATATGACAAAAACGTACAACCTCGCGTGAAATCGGCTTAAAACACGAGAATCAACATCTCAAACGGCTCAAGAATAGGGGTAAAAACATGTGCAATTATCGGTCTATCACTGACCAAAAGACTTTGGTTGGTTAAATCTAGGGTGACAGGTTATTTTTGGACGGAGCCTTTTATGAAAAAGAAATTTGTGAAGGATTGAAAGACTGTGATGGTAGTAAAGCTCCAGGTCCGGATGGTTTCACTTTAGATTTCTTCAAGAGGTGTTGGAATCGGCTGAAAAAGGATGTGATGAAAGCTGTTGAGGAATTCTGTGACATGGGGATTCTTCCCAAGTGTGTTACTCATTCCTTTGTGTTTTAACGCCGAAGAAAGATGTTGTAGAGGAGATCAAAGATTTGCTTCCTATTAATTTGGTCGGCAGCATCAACAAGATTATCCATAAAGTGCTCTCTCAAAGACTCGGGGTGGTGCTCCCTAAATCGGTGACACGTCAACAACATTCTTTAGTGCAAGGAAGGCAGATATCATAAGTAGGTCTTTTAGCCAATGAACTCATTGAAAGCAGGAGAAAAGGCAGAAAACCGGGACTCATGTTCAATAATGTTGATTGGGGTGCCTTTTCAATATGCTTGCCAAGATGGGGTTCACAAATACTTGGGAAAGATGGATCAAGGGCTCCTTGTGCGCTTCAAATATTTCTATCCTTGTCAATAGTGAGGCCCACGGCTTTTTTCCGGTGTCTAAGGGTCTCCGGCAAGGGGATCCCTTATCACCCGGGCTTTTCGTGCTTGTCATGGAAATTCTTTCCTTTATGCTGAAAACTGCGCGAGGTGCTGGGAAGTTTGAAGAGTTCTATATGAATGAAGAAAGGAAGATTGGCGAGGTAACAAACCTGTTGTATGTAGATGACACTCTGATGTCTGTGAGGCTAGCCACAATCAAGTTTTGAATGTGCTGGCAACGTTAGCCTACTTTCAAATGGTGACAGGATTAAGGGCTCGTTTGCTTGTTGGATTTGAAAATGAAGATTTTGAGTTTTAAAAACCTTTGGATTTATGATAGATTTGTTGCATCATGGATTTGGAAGAGTACATTGTTTGTTTAGTTGATTTTTTATCATGGATTTGTGATGGATTTGTCTCACATTTTTTCCTTCTATTGTCAAATCCCAAATGAAATGTGAGATTTACAAATCCGTGGGGTCCACGGATTTGGATCTAAAAAAGGGGTCCAAATCCGTGGACCCCACGGATTTGTGTCCCTCAACAAACAAAGGATTTGTGTCAACTCCATGATGCTTGGGATTTGGGTTCCAAATCCATCACCCAAATCCCACAAGCAAACGACCCCTAAGAATAAACTTGGAGAAGTCCATCATGTATACGCTTAGGGATGTCCCTAACCCTAGTTACTTTGCATTGATTTTCGGGTGCAGTTGGAGCTCGGATTCCTCAAAGTATCTTGGGTTCCCTCTTGGTGGAAAACCAAATGACGCTTCAATTTAGGATCCGATTATTGATTAGTATCAGACTATCAGCGCAAGCTTAATGGTTGGGGAAGCGGAGCCTTGTCTTTCAGTGGTAGACTTGTGTTGGTCAAATTGGTATTTTCGAATATTCCGAGTTACTACTTCTCCCTTTTCAAAGCTCCAATGTCAGTGATCAAAGAGTTGGAAAATGTCAAAGAAACTTCTAGTGGAAAGGGAAGGCTGAGGGGTTCAAGATGGTTATTATGGATTGGAAGAAGTGCGAAGCTACGAAGGATGAAGGAGGCTTTGGTATACATGATCTCAAAGCTTTCAATGATGCAATGTTTTCTAAATGGTTATGGATGTATGCGGTTGAGAGGGACGCGTGGTGGCAGGAATTGATTTCCTACAAGTACGCCCAATGATTCATCTCTGTGGCGGACGAGAAATGCGAAGGGGGGATCTTGCAGATCAGTTTGGGCAAACATCAACAAAGAAAATAGCCTTTTACGGAAGTTCGCTTGGTTGGAACCGGGGAATGGTACTATGATATCATTTTGCATGACTGTTGGATCCCGAGACTGTTCTGGTTGACTCGTTACCCTGCCTCGCCGCTGCTGTTGCTGAACCGGAAACTCCTCTTTTCGACATTGCCGATTTTTCTGGTGAGGTTGTTAATTGAATATTCTTTAAGGGGTGGGGCTGAGAGGGAGAGGGTTGCTCTTAATAAGTTATTGTGTTCAGCTGACTTTTATCATAATTCCATTAGTCCTTGCAGGAGGACATGGACTCTTGAGTCAGATGGGTGTTTCTCTGTTCGATCTTTATATTAGCAGCTGGTCAGAAATGATCTTGGAGGTCTACATGAGTTTCCTACATGTCAAGTCTGGAGAAGAATAATTTCGAGCAAAGAGTGTTTCTTCCTATGGTTAGTATATCATAATAGGATCCTCACCGTGGACAATCTTAAAAGAAGAGGCTGGAGCTTGGCAAATAGGTGTGCTATGTGTCAACAAAAGGAGGAGACAAGTGTTCACCTGTTCATGGATTGTGCTTATGTGAAAAATGTGTGGAAGATCATTTTTGGACTTGGGTTGAACTCGATCAGGGAGAAGGCAGATATAGTGACGACTATTAAAAAGTGGCCTAGTGAAGACTTGAACAACACGGAGGAGTGGTTTGTTTCATGCTTACTTCATGCCGTGTGGTGGTTCATATGGCTTGAAAGAAACCAGAGGATTTTCGAAGATAAGAGTAATGTTTCTTCTGTTGTCACTCATGGGAAAGTTCATAGTATGTGGCTACGAGTTAGTTGAGGGAGAGGGGATTCAATTTCTAGAGACATGCTGATGTCAAGGAGGAGTTTGGTCTGCTGAAAGATGATGCCTTTTTGTGGAGTTCTCAGTTTGGGGTGGTGTGATGATTTTTTGGCAGGTTGAGTTGACATGTGCTTCTTGGGGCCTGGGTTGGCAATGTTTGTATTGGTTACAGTTATGGAGCATGCTGCTGTTGGTGGCAGTTTGTTGGTGTCTTCCTTGGTTCCCGTTGGATTGTGTGTGTCAATTTGTGGGGGGCAGTGTTTGGTTTGAAGGATTGGTTGTTGTAGGATGCAGATTGGCTATTGTGTTCGCTGTGGAAGGATCAGATGTGCGTTAAGTTTTAGGTGGGCAGTGGTCTTTTGATTTGTTGATTTGTAGGTGTAGATCTGCCTGAGACGTGTTGTTCCTTGTGAGCTGGCGGGTCTTGTGTGGCGGATAGCTACTTTGTCGGCGCTTGCCCCTGACGTTGGAGGTTTCGTGTACTTTGGATGCCAAGGTTGGTTCGGCCTAACCAGCCATGTTGTCTTTGTTTTTAACTGATATACTAGAATCAATACCCACGACTACGCCGCGGGAGATGTAGTCGTGTTTAGTATATGTGAAAACAGTCATACAACTTACCATCACAATAATTATTTACGGAACATTAGTCTAAATACTCTCGAGTAAATACTTTTTTTGATACGAAACTCATTATGTTAGACATCAAATCAATACATACCCAAGCTATCGTGCTAAAATTTTGAGCAATCTTCATTAGAAAAGAAGCAATCATCAACCTGTATCAACAAAAGAGTAGTAACTTTAACAATATAAGGGAGAAAGTCACTAAATTACTTCTCTTCCTAAAAATATGCTCTTACAAAATGGAAGTAAACAAATAAAAGCTCCAACGCCAACCTGTCACCATGTATCAAATGCTTAATCGTCAATACAATTCAATGTAGGACATGATACTTGTTCTGGTATACTTTCCCTCAAAGATCCTCCTATTACTCTCCTATACACACCAGTACATTACACGAAGAAGACTTAAATTTCAAAAGCTTTTTCTTGCTTTGCAACTTCTTGTTCAAGCTCTGCAAATTCTGCAATGGATTCCTTCTCCTTCACTTCTTTCTTTAGTTTGTTTTTCTTCATCCCATATATACCAGAAGCATTGCAAAATTGCATAATCAGAATTACAACATAAAGAAAAAAGTGCAGCAACAACTAACAACAAAACCAACAAAAAAATATGCCAAGAAGTACAGAATTCTGGTCATGTATACGAAAGTCCCCAAGTTTCAACTCTAAGTTCTCACATAAACCAATCGGTCCAGATAACTTTTAACTTTCAATACATTTGACCAACAGCAAGCAGATATGAGCATCAAACAACAGTTGATCGGGAAAGAAAATAGGAAGTAAATTTCATTCTAGGTTGTTGACTGTAGTAGAATGCTGATATACCTGAAAGTTAGAACCAACATGTTTCTTTCCAGAAATAAAGAGAATGTAATATCTCCAAGTATAAATGAAGTCAAATGTTACCTGAAGTTTGGCATGGGAAATCTGCCCAGAAACCATTCAAGCAGAACACCTGCAAACTGCATCAGTCAGTTATAGCTATACATTAGGCAATAATAAATCCAGAATTGAAATAATAGAATTTAAACCCCTGCCTCTAGTTCAACAGCGGTAAATGAATCATAATATATACATATAGGCCAAGGAAATCTCATTTCACACCAGAAGGGCAAACACATCAAAGTTGCAACCTCTATTCTAATATAAGGTCATTTTTTGATTCTGCAGCAACATGAAATGACCTGAAGTTTTTTTTATCATGGTGACATAAACTGATTAATTAGGAAAAATAAACAAAAGAAAAGCATACAAATACAAATCTGCAACATGAAATCTTCTCTTGCCAGCTCATCTGACTACAACAGATTGCTTGCCGAAGATCAGCTACTGCATCCTACCAAATATTACTCTCGAAGTCTAATTGCCATCCAAACTCAACCAGCTAAAACTGAACCAAAAGCCAATGCAAGGGTTGTATCACATCAGGCTCTTCACAATAGATCAAGAACATGGGAAGAATTTATATGATATAACAGAAGCACTATCATACTTTTTTTTCCCTTTCTTACCAAGAAATAGCCATCTCAATGCTTTTTGCCCTCAAGTAAGACTCCTCAAATTGCACAGGGTTGATTGTCTTTCATGCTTCAAGTCTCCACTGCCGGAGCTGAGACCAACAATCTCATTGAATTTGAAGTCCACTCTTCCGCAATCTGAAGATCCACCTTCTTTGTGAGTTGGCTAGTGCGCGTATTTATGGAAGCACACCAGATAGCATAGAAACTTCAACATATGTGGATGATTTTTGCTCGTTAACCTGAATATTGACTGGAAAGAATGTAGAAACAGGTAAGCAACCCATGAAAATGAGCAGAAACTAATAGACGCAGAGGGAAGAGAAGATATAGGATAAGTAGCATTGTACATTACCTTGCCTACGCTGGATTTCACACTTGCTATTGCACAGATCCCTGCTACCCGCTGCACTCATATGGGCATATACACGACGTTAATCCAATTACTCAAACTACTTAAGAAGTGATCGAAAAACTAAAGGAAGCTAGGAAGGGGAGATATATTGTATCAGACTACGTACCATAAGCTGCTTGATCGCATTGACTCCTGGTGCAAGTGTCTTGACACCACAGCTCATCAAAGCCCTGGGAGGTGCAGAGCTCTAGATGATTATTAGTATGACAGATAGGGGTGAACAAATACACCCGCAAACCGACCCACCCGTCCAACCCGACCCAACCCACCCGTATTTATCGCTAAATCGAAGGTTTTGGGTTGGTTGAGGGTTTTCTTTTGTACAACCCGCCTCTTTTGGGTTGGGTTTGGATTTTGGATTACACAACCCGTAGAACCCGACCCAACCCGTGTTCCAATTATTGGTATAAGTTCGTATCCAAAAAAATATTTATGTCGTATATAGTCATACTTGTGAGAAAATTAAGATATTTCGCCATGTTTTTCTCTTAAAGTCTCACTAATCTAATGCATTCTTCGACTTAAAGTTTATACATATATTTAATATAGCTATGATTCACGCAATTTTTTTTTTCTTGTGTACAATTTTAAAAGAATATCATATTATGGATGCGTTCATTTGTAACCTTTTTAGCCTATTTCAACAAATGTCGTGAAAAAAACTATACATAAGTTGAAGTAAATCAAGTTTTATTAAATTTCAAAAAATATTTGTGAATTTTGATACCTTTCACCTCGGTTTATTCGTTTGAATTTTTAATTAGTTATAAATATTTTTATGATGTAGAATAATTACATATTTTGTGTTGGGTTGGGTTTTTACTTAAAAATATCGCCAACCCGACCCAACCCAATTAAAAACAAACCGTAGGATTTAGATTTTTTTGAGTGGGTTTGGGTTTAATATTTCCCAAACCGTAGTGCATGAGTCGGGTGATTAAAATGTCTAAACCCGAACCACCCGACCCATGTACACCCCTAATGAGAGAGCAGCAACACACCCATGAAAATCACCATCAATGTCTTCTTCTCCATTCTCAATGTAAAAATCCCTATTTTAATGAGGCTTCATGTGTGATATTCACAGTACTCAGACTGGGTTATTTGCTTGGGAAGTGATTTCAGAACAGGGGGGAAATGGTTCAATAATCAGGCAGAGGGGGTGGAGATGGTCACAGAGAAGCCAACAAAAGAAAGGACTACCAGCTAGCTAGCCATTGTAGCTTACCAACAGACTCTCTCTTTGTCTCCCCTCGCCGCATTGAGAGCTGATGTCCAACTGATCTCAAGTTGATATTGATGAATGACAACCGGTAGAGCTGCGTCCTCACCCACGGGTTCATGGCGCCTTGTCTTTCAATGAGCAAAGCACATTTAAGCCAGAGCTACTCATTTTGCTGCCCATGCGGTTTTTTCCCAATCAGACGTCGCCATCATCGTCAATGCGTCGCCGTTGCCATTGCCGACATCCTCTTCCTCGGCATCTGAAACGGGAGGGAAAGTGGAAGCGAGAATCAGAGGTGGCGGTCCGATTTATGAAGGATTTATCGGGCTGTGTTTCGTGGAAGTAGATAAGAAAGGGATGAGAAGAAGAGGGCGCTCTAGTTTCAGGCTTTACGTGGGGAGACGTGTGGAATGAAGGTAAAAGACCATAGACATAGAGGTATGGGAGACGTAAAGGAAGTGTAGACTGGGAGAAATTCAGTTTGCATGTTAGATTGTTTGGAAAGATAGAGATATGATTGTAGGTTGGAAGAAAATTGGAAGTGATTTGATTGGAGGAGGAAGAGTATAGAGAAGAGAAGGATTTGTCAGGTAGTGGGGTGACAGAAGAAAGGGGAAGGGTAAGATTTTATTTTGTGGCAGTTGAACCTCTTTTCTCCTTTTCTTACAGTTTTGAAGGCTTTTTGGTGGGTGGATGAAGGATTGAAAAGATGGAGTTTCACTAAATGACAAATAATGAAACAGTAACAAAAACAATTGGGCAATAAAGTGTACCCACATTTCATATATAAAAGAATGGTGCTATAGTTCCCATCGGGAGTGGTCTGGTCCACATTGCTGGTTTGTTTTCTGTTTCCTTTTTGTTTCTTTTTCTGTTGCGTGTGTTTCGGTGTTTAGTTCAATTCTTCTGAACTATTACAGATTTCGGACATTGTATTGTTGTTCTTGTGTCTCTTTATTAATGCATTTCGATCACCATTATAAAAAAAAAACGGTTTTATTGATAGTTTCCGTGTACAATGAGGAAAAACATAAACACTGGGATAATAAAAATCATGGGAAAACTTTGAGACCTTAAAATGTGGAACATATTATAAATAATTATTCCAGATAATTGCATGGATCCTAGGAGACCGAAGTCGATTAGCAGGCTACTAAACATGTCACGGGCCGCCAACCGTGATATCAACATAGTTAGTAAATACTTCGTTTAATACACGTATGGGTACTCGTACGTAATTTATTCGTTTAAAACTTCTGTATCCGTATTATTGTCAAGTCGTTTCATTTTTCCCCTTCATTTGATAGATATCGTACTAAACACGTTTAAAATCTGTATGACACGTTTGATATCCGTATTTAATGAATTAAATTGCAAACTTAACTAGAATTTATATATTTATTTATTTTTTAAATAATTAATTTTATTATATTTATGACTTTTGATGTACTATTAAACATAACATTACTTTAGAGACAAATTAAAATACCCGTACGTATTTTATACGTAACTTACACGTCCATATTTTACTAACTTAGGATATCAACATGTGAGGATTGCAAAGTTTGAGTAGGCTGATGTTAACTTGCGGGCGCTTACAATCTCACGACCTCACGCTGTGAGAATTACACCGAGATCGTGAAGATCGTAAGTGAAAAGGTGTGTGTCAGTCAACCATTCGTCAGGGGCAATTTCTCTGGATGTGAAACTCTCCCTCCCGATAGTCCGCTCTAGGTTAGGTTGAGTAACTTGAAAGGGAGCTCAATCAGAAATAGGATTCTCCGCAATGTAAATCATGAGTTGACAAACTTGGATAATCCATTCGTCAGTCTATTTTGCAACTAGAGAGATACAACACCCGAGTTGATTTCTCACTTTAGTTTTTCACTAAAATTTTCTTTACTTTGTTTTTGTTGTAATTAGTTAATTCAAACCTTATATTCACTAGATAATAAAGCAGTCCGCGAAGTAATATTACATTTGCCTCGCTGGTTGATATTAAATTTCACTTTAGTTTTACTATGTTGCACCCAATTGTGGCTGCACTTTGCCGCGGTTGGGATAGTAGTCACAGTAGAAATTGAGTCAAGTATAACTCTCAAACTTTGTTACTTTGCATGCAAGTTTATACCTGCCTCAAATGCATCATTATAATTTGGTCAATCACTTCTAAGTGATAAATGAATCTAACTTCATGATCATCATTGTTCATTTATCATATTGCACGCTACAATATATACAAGTTTATTGTCAATGATAATTTTCGGTCAATTCCTTCAAATTCCATTCAAGATTTTACTTATTGAGATTTTTTTCATTTTCCCAATCAAGTACATGTGGTTCTTCTAAACCAATATTATAACACTTGGAGATTCAAATATGATTACAATATCATCAGCATAAGAGCATCTTTATTCTTAACTCCTTTTTATCTAGAGGACTTGCATTCCTTTGGAATCGATAGTTACAACATATCACATATGTGAGCGTAACATATCCGTCGGGAATATAAATCTTAGGAATGCAATCCAATCGTGCTAGTTTCATATTGTTAAGTTCATAGGCGGACAAAACCTTCGTGTCTACAGTTAAAATTTATACTTTCATAGTTACCTTTGATCAATAGAATCTTGGATGGGTAAAAAATTTCGTTAAAAAAATGTCTATTCTCGAAGTTGGCTCAGATCGACAAAATTTTGAGTACATAGAACAATCGTGATAATGATAAAAAGCATCCACTTCAGGAGTTGACTTTGATCAGCATAAGGTTGAGCACGTAGAACAATCATGGTAATGGTAAAAACTCCTACTTCCATAATAGGCTCAAATCGGTAGGATCATGAGTACATAGAAAATTCGTGTTGATAATGTGTTATAAATAATTATCACGAAAATATGAATAAGCAATACCATTGAAATACGAAGTAGAAGAGAATTACTTACACGGCTTTTATTCGATACTCTTGAACACAAATCAGAACATGGGTACAAGAGATAGAATGGCAAATAGGAAAAAGAATGCTTGTTGCCTGTTGGTATAGTTTCTCCTTGTCTTATAGTCTCATTTTACAGGGAAGAAAGTTAGTTGACTGAAGGCTTGTACAACTTATACCAATGTATTTCCACCAATTCCATAAAAGAACTAGCGGTTGATAATCGACATCAACATGACATTAATTCAAAATAGAACATGACTTGTGTTATAAGGCATATATGGGACATCCAAGGAGGATTGCTTTGAGTTGCTTGAATAATAAAATATAGACTATTCAATAAAATATAGACTCAAGTAATGTTTGATTGATTAATTAATGTTTTGAGGGGAAATCCATTTATCTATCTATCTTCTAAAAAAAATATAGTAAGCATTTTCTTTATTTATACTTTCTCATTTCAAAATTTCAGACTTCGTGCGCTTCCACGTCAGCATCCTTCGCACAAATAATATTTTTTGTTAACTCCTTTTTTATTTTTATTTTCATTTTTTTCTTAGATTTAACGGTCCAGATTCAAAGACTAGTTTACTTTTATTACATTTTTTAGGAATTAATATTTAGTTTTTCAGTAATCCAATTAGTATGTGCCACCTAGCACATTCTTTCTCTTATTTTTCAATTCCTTTACTAATTTAATTGATCCTTTTTTATTTCGTTTCAACTCCAAATTCAGATATTTGAGCTTCGAAAAATCAGATTTTATATGATCTACACAATTATATTCATTTTTATATGTGTTGGGAAAAAGGATTCAAAAAACATGATCACGATCAAATTCGACAGTGAACACTTTATCATTATCATTAAATTATATACCACCAAATGACTCATGCACTGCCATAATTTACAAGACACATTTCTTATTCTATGACTATAACAACATTTAGTTTTGTAAAAACATAATACACAATAATTTCATGTGACACAAACTAAATTATCTTTAAAAAATCACTTTGACCGGGTTCAAAGCTAGTGAAGGATACAATTTGGATCCCTCACATTCCTTCCGCAAAAATTGTGCTTCTTACTTCCAACACATTTTACATTTACTTCCGAAATGCCTCTTTTTACCTCTGTAGTACGACCATAGGAGGTAAATAAGCCTTGTTCAAGACGGCTTGATTTGCTATGCCAGTGCACCAACGAGAGTAATCCGCACAACTTAGAATTAGGCCACTGCGTCGGCTTGTCTTCTGGTTAATTGAGCATACAGTCCATCTTTAAGCAGCAATTCCTTGTGTCTCCCCATCTGAAACAGGTAGGTGGGGATTCACTGTCAGGTTTATGAACGAAGAGCATAGCGTATGGTAGCTAAGATACACAAGTAACGAACCTCGATAACTTGACCATTACCCATAACGACAATGCGATCAGCAGCTTGTATGGTTGAGAGCCTGGCACCAAAGGAATCAAACTGAGTATTTATGATGTCTCGACACAAGGGTATATATACAGATAATAGATCGATTACCTATGCGCGATCACTATGACAGTTCTCCTTGACATTGAGTCACTTCTAAGGGAATGAATGACTCCCTACACATGGTGGTCAAAAACAGAAAATTAAGTTCGTGTTTCCAAATTTCTACATCTAGTTCACCATTGGCATGCTTGGGTACTAGAGAGACTTGTACCTTAACATTGTGCTCACTCTCGGCATCCAGTGCACTTGTGGCTTCATCAAGGATCAAAATCGTAGGGTCCCTGAGAATAGCCCGAGCGATAGCAATTCTTTGCTTCTGACCTCCGCTGAGCAAATCATCATCAACAATGGTTTTGTAGCCATTAGGTAATGAAGAGATGAAGTCATGAGCATATGCCTCCTTAGCAGCATGCTCGATTTCCTCCTGGGTTGCATCTCCTGGACATCCGTAACTTATGTTTGAACTCAGATCCATGCGGAAGAGTTTGGGTTCCTGCTTCAATAGAACTGGTGTAAGCAGAAGCTAATTCCTGAGATTCCAAAAATGTGTGTTACGTTTAGGATGAAGAACTAACCTGGCCAACATACCCAATTCTTTCCCTAAACCATCTGATGTCCAGTTCTTGAAGGGGAATGCCATCAATCAAAATCTGTAGTTATTGACAAATATGAAGGACAGATGAAACTGATGCATGATTTAAGAAGACGGAAGAGGTAAGTTTTACAGCCATAAAATTTTCATCCCTAACAGACTATGAATGGCAGTAACAGGGATATCTGAACCTCACTTCAAAACAGCGATTGACGTTTATCTAAGAGAATAGTAATGGTTTTGAGTTACCTAACTTAGCATTTTCTTTCTCAATAAGCCATCACTTCGGATATTACAGCGATTTCTTAAGGGATACGATAAAAGCCAGATACAAATCTACAGCCAACTACCTTGAACAAACTTCTACAGCAGCATGGACTAAGAATCTTGACGTCTTATGGATGAGAAATTCAAAAAATAGTAAGAGATTTTACCTGACCAGTTGTTGGCTCATACAGGCGGAGTAACAAATTCACCAGAGTGCTTTTCCCACTACCACTAAGACCAACCTATGGGAAGTCAAAACACATTATTTTGGTGACATGTAGGAGGAATGAACAACATGGAAGGGTAAACTTACTATTGCAATCACTTCCCCAGGATGTACGGTAAGGTTTACATGTTGCAGTACCTGCACCTATTAAAGTATCGAAACGTTAATTTATTTCATTTTGCAAGCGATAAAACTAAAGCAACCAGAGTAAATTTGAGATCTGAATGCTAAACAGAAGATAAAGCCGAGATAAAATAAGTGAATATATAAAAATGAAATAGAAACAGAGTGCAATTTGGAGATGAAGGCAGCATCCATACTGACTCTCTAGAAGGATAATGGAAAGATATGTTTTCGAATTCTATGCTTCCCCTCAGCTTTTGTAGCTGTGATCCTGCAATAGCAACAAGCAGCTTTTAAAAGGTCAGAAATACAACTAGTTTGCTTCAACATTTGCATTCAACAACTTTTCAGAAATTATCTCATCAAGCCATTATTTTCTATCATACAATCATGAATCCTGGCAAGATATAGTAATTGATCAATACAACCACCTAATGTAGTCACTTTGGACAAGCTCATGCAGTCTTTTCTGTTTGGTTCTTATGATCACTTGTAAGGCATTTTCATGATTACTTGCTAAGACAATCTTTAACACTTCTGCAAAAAGCCCAAAATAGCATTGCATGGCGGGAATCCAAAGTTCTTGAAAGCCAATTAGCTAGATATAGTGCCTCTAAGATCAAAATAAAATATTTTAAAGAAAGTCAGATTAAAGCTGATACTGATAAGGTTCACATTTAGGAAGTATTCAATCATCAAATAATTCATGCATGAAAATAGCATGCCTTTTGTCGCGAACTGGTCACTTGGCAAGAGATCCATCATTTTGAAGACCTTTTCACTAGCGCCAACAGATTGCATGAGAGATGATAAATTGTCACCCACCCACCAAGTAGAAAATATTAGCCATTCGCTGTATAATATGAACTTCGTGAGTTGCTCCGCTGTAATTTGACCAGCAAGAATAGACATGCCTCCTAATAACACAGCAATGACCTAGAAACCAAAATATGTTGCTCAACATACGGTAACTGATCCCCCATCAAGAGACTACCGAATGAGATATAGTTCACACAATTTTAAAATGTGCAACTTGGTACACTGCAATATAAGACATGACGGACCCGAGTAGAGTGATAAAGTGTGTTGAAGCTCAAGTTCCAAAATCCATATGCAGCACTCTGTTTGAGACTGATATCAGCCAATTTGTCCAGCCAAAAATTGTACCTATGAAATTCAAGGAAATTTTTCCGAGTGAGAGCGGATCAGTACTGTAGGTGCAACTTCAGCTCCCCTAGAAAATCTACCACCACAGATCATTCTTCCTTATGGATGCCACAACTAAAGCACTAGAAATACGAATAAAGATGATAGAAAATTGACTTTGACTGACCTTTCACGTTCTAATATTTCAGTTCCATAAACACGAACTGTCCTGATCAAAGAAAATGTCTCTTGAGCCACCTGCACAAGGTTAAGACAATGCCATTCACGACCTCAAGCATATCAGTTAGGTTCTTAACTTAAACTTAAGGAATACCATCATACGTCATTGGCAGAAGCTGTGAAATCTTGGGTTAGTCTTGCTGCCTTCTTCTGATACCTAATACCAACAAAAATACCCCAAGGTAGCATAGGAATCACTACAGAAGAAACATCTATTCATGCCACATTTCAACACACAGTTATTGGTTGCCGAGTTACCTTGGAGCAAAATTATACTGTTAATTAACAAAAACCTTTGCTAAAAGTCATGGTCAATAATCAAGATAATTCTGCTAGTAGTTCAAACCAGTCTCCTCGAAGTTCAGTCAGCTACAACACACACCACTATACTATACCAAGCACATTCTCAACCTCATACATCATCTCAAAACAAGGCTCTATTTCATTAAGCTAGGCTTCATAAAATGAAAAAAAAAGATAACCACGACAAGCTTACTTCAAGAAAGAAATAAAAAGATCTTACATGCCATAGACTGTCATTACAGCTGCTAAAACTGAGCATATGAATACTGTAAACAGACCAAGCGGCCTAGACAGGATCAGCAAGTAGGTCAATGCACCCGTACCCTAGAGCAGAGCAACAAACTGTGAATAGGTTTCTTGAAATTGACACTAACTGACAGCTGGAAACCATTAGTAGAGAAAATAAACCTGCACAACATTTCGCAAGATTAGGTTAAGATCATTCCCAATAACCCGAGACACTTGTTGGCAGTCCGATCCAAGCCTGCTCGTCAGATCACCAACTGTTTCATTGTCGAAAAATGAAATATCCTGCAAAAGATGTAGCAATAAACTGCTGCAATACATCATCAACAAGTAACGTGAGCAACCACGTAGAAAGAAGCATTAACAACTATACCTGAAGAAGAACTGAAGAGTAAAGAGTTTCTCTCATCCGCTTCACCTGCAAATACGGCAAGGAACCCAACCAAACACCAATGTTGGTTTCAAATATTCAAAGGGATTGGCATTTGGCAATTGGCAGCACTACTGAACAAGTTCAGAAATTGAAGCTAAGAGAAACAACTCACAAGGATCATATTCGCAATGCCAAAGCAGCAACCTCTTAACCCGCTGAGCTTACCAAAAAACAAGCAGTAAAAAGGAATTCAGCATTCTCTGCCACACACCAGTTAGAATGTAATAGTACTGTTATCAGTTCAGAGAAAATAGAGGGACTAGTTGAACCCGTACAACGCCTTGACCTGCATATCCCGGAAGTAGCGCACAGCAGAACCAGCAGCCGGACGTTCCGGTGGAAGGTCGTAACGTCGGCGCTCTGTGCCGTGAAAATCGACGCCGTCAAGTAATGTGGTATGGAGATTTCTGATAACGCAGCCAGAATTAGGGCGGAGAACGCGGCGAAGATGACCCAACGATCCTGAGCCACCAGCTGCCACATCCGCCCTAGCGCCTTCCACACGGTCACCGGCTCCGCCACGAGTTTCACGTCCACGTCATCGGATAAGCTCCACCAGTTCCCACCGGGTAAAATTGACGGCAGGAACTCGATGAAATTCCGAATCCGTTGGTGCATCTCATCCTCATTTCCATCCTCCTCTCCTAGTGCTCCGTCAACATCAATCCTCCCAGCTCCGTTCTCCGTCGAATAACCGTTGACGGAAGCGCATCTCAAAGGAGCAAATCGAGCAGTAGCAAATCGATTCTTCAAAGACAAGTTAGAAAGTTCGAACTTCGTCTCTCTAGCTAAAAGGAAGCTCCGACGGTCAAAGACGCCGCTGACCGGCAAGCGGTGGCGGGAAGGGAGGAGACGTGGCGCTGTGCCGCAAAGCTGAAGAAGCGCCATGGAAAAGCAGACGAATTGAATTTCCGCGCAAGGCCAGCTAAATGTTAGTTGAGTGGGCCGGTCGCACGAGAGAGATTTATAAATTGCAACCAGTTTAGTTATCCTGCTCATAGGATATAGTGTGAGTATATACTCACATGGCCGGATGCCCACTCACGTTGCCAGTGGCGTAGACAGGATTTTGGGTAAGGGGGTGCCAATTTAAAAAAAATTAAAATGAGTAAATGACTATCAATTTTTTATAGTGACCCACGACGGGTTCTCATATTTTGACAAGTCTGTAAAATACATTCATTCATCATCCACGACGGGTTCGTTTACTTCTTGAATAAGCATATGTAATTATGAGATTTTTTAATTTAATTTACTTATTATTTGTAAACGGTAAATTATATATATGCAATAAAACGTATTAGTGTATCATGTAAGTAATTGTGGTTTAGTGGAAAATGTCAAAGCTAATAGTAAGGGGGTTCCACGTTCAAATCCTAGCTATAGCATAAACTAATACCCCTATTTTTTGATGTTCTAGCTCCGATCCAAGGGCGGCACACCCTTCTAAGACACTGTCTCCGCCCTTGCACGTTGCCGAGTCGAGATCAGACGATGGAGGAAGGTTGGAGCCAACTTGTGAGGGGAGGAGAGCCGAGTCCATCGGCTGGACCAAGCCCAGACACTCTGTGACAAAAAAGTGGGGTCCACTTGGTCTCCAAATTCAAAAAACACATTTGATTTTATCTATTTAAACCCCTCCCTCCTCTCTTTGATATTTCTCTGTCCGTTCACTTTCACTCTCTCTCCAAAATTCAAAAACACTTTCTCTCCTCTTCCTCTCCCGAAAACACTTTCTCTCCCCTTCCTTTCCCAATACCGACGACGGCAACGACGACATTCAAGGCATCGGTGACTGTGGCTTTCACGGCAGCGGCGACAACGACTTTCAAGGCTGCAACGATGACGATTTTGACGGCATCACTGTGGTGAAGGCGGATTCGACTACTGTAGTAGTCGCTGAACAAAGAAAAATAAGGCGACTGACGCCGTTGAGGTAGACGTCTTCTCCTTCCCCTTCTCCTTCTGTAGATTGCATATATTTGATCTTGGGTTTCATGGATTCGACTAGATCTGGGTTTTTCTTTTACTTCAATTTTTTTAATGGGTTTTTATGGATTTTATGGATTTTTTTTTTATTTCATGGAAACCGCTGGATCTGGATTTTTTTCTTCGATTTTTAATGGGTTTTTATGGATTTGTTTTCTAATTTCATGGAAACCACTGGATTTGGATTCTTTCTTTTGCTTCGTTATTTTGGATGAGTTTCTGGATTTGTTTTCTGTGGCATGGGATGCTAGTTGTTTTGTGGATTTGGGATATTAGTATAAACTCGCCTGGATAGTTTTCTGTTGTATTTGGATGTCAATTCATTGATATTAGTTTGATGAGTAGTGATATTAGTTGTATACTTTCATGGATATTGTTTTGATGCATTTGGATATCACCTCATTGATATTAGTTGTCATCTTTAAGGATATCAGTTGTATGATAGACTGAGTTTTTGTTTGACGAATGTGGATATGACTTCATTGATATTACTTCTGAATGTTATGGATATAGTTAATGTGAAGTCCAGATATTAGTTAGCTTATGTCAGGATATTTTCTGTGTAGGGAAATCAAAATGGCAAGAACTAAAGGAACTGCAAAGAGGTAGCGAGTAGAAGGCGAATCCTTAAGACCTAACCGTGGCAAACAACCACAGGAAGATGAGTCGGAGGAATATGAGGACCAAGAAATTGAATAACATTTTTTTTAATAATGGATGGTTGTTCTTTATGTTCTGGATTGTAGTTCTTTTGATGATGGATATTGTAACGAAAGCACAGGTTAAGTAGATAGTAGTCAGGGCTGTCTAGATAATAGTAGCTTCATGCACAGATATTACTCTGGGCTCTCTGAATAATAGTTGTTGAATGACAAGATACTAGTCTGGTATATAGGGATAATAGTTGCTACATGAGCATATAATACTTTGATATATCAGGATAATATTTCCTTCATTAATAGATATTGCTTTGGGCTTTCTGGATTGGAATGACATTAATACTAGTTGTATCGCGGTTTATCGAAAAACGATTTTGTTTTATATGGATTAGTTTCAACTCAATATCAACACAAACAAACATAGATAAACATTCACACAAAACAAATATCCAAACCACTCACACTAATATCAGTTCAGCATAACAAATATCCACACCACCCAGACTAATATCACACCGTCTAATATCAATATCCAGTCAGTCCATAATTAATATCCTCAACATCATAGACTAATACCACTACATCAAACTAATACATGACCATCGCGAATTAATACTCACTACACAGAAAAATACCCACACATCGCAAACTAATATCCTACCAATATTCAGTCATTCCATAATTAATATCATCACCATAACAGACTAATACCCGCTACACACAAACTAATATCTGACCATCACGAACTAATACTCACTACACAGAAAAATACCCACACATAGCAAACTAATATCCTCCCATCACATAATAATATCCTATCACCACAGACATATATCGAATCACCCTACATTGTGTTCATATCCATTTCCACAACATCATCTTCTAAATCCTAAACCAAACAAACTCTCACTCTAAACCCTAAAAAATATCCACACCATCCAAGCTAATATCGCACCGTCTCAAACCAATATCCTGTCATTAAAAATGTAATATCTCGCCAGCACAGTCAAATATCCACAATACACAGACTGATATCTGACCGTGGCAAACTAATATCTCACTACACAGACAAAATATCGAACCACCATACATTGTGTTCTAAACCACCAACCTTAAACTCTAAACCCTAAGTAGGTCAATTGAATGTAGTTGTAATTAGTTGGGGGGTTTTGAAATTATTTTGGTGAAAAATAAACATTAGCTTTGTGATGTAAAAAATATAATCAGAAGGTCTAATAGGAACAACCATGCAGACTAATATCCAAATAAAGGAAACAAAAAATATAATCACGCAAAACTAATATTTTGTTACATAACGGGCAAAAACTAATATCCGTCCTCTATCGAACAAATACCCATTCACCCCAAAACAAATATATGTCCTTTATCGAGCAAATATCGGTGGCGCCCAGACTAACATCCATCCATTTCAGATATAATATCCATCCTTGAGCGAACAAATATCATTGACACCCTGACTAATATCCAGCCACTTAAATTAATATCTGAAATCATAAACGGACTAATATCAGACCTACCATGACAAAAAAAAAACTTCATTTCCGAATGGTTTCCTCGGTGTTATCTTCATCCTCAGACAAACATCCATATCGTCCATACAAATACCCATTCACCCCAAAACAAATATACGTCCTTTATGGAACAAATATTCGTGACTCCCAGACTAACATCCATCCACACTAAAAATAATATCCACTTTTTAACGAACAAATATCCTTAACAACTTAACTAATATCCAATCACATAAACTAATATCTGAAATCACAAACGAACTAATATAAAGGTCTGGAAGACACTCACACTCCTACTACTATTGATTCATTGGCCTTCGGCCAATGGGCCCTCGGCGGGCAGCCCTAACTAAGGTTGCAAGCCTTATGTGTTAGGACTTGATAATGTGTTTAGTTTTGATGGAAGACACAATTAATTCACAAACTAATATCCATCGCATATAATATCAGTTCATGCAAAAATAAATATCCATACTGCACAGACTAATATCCGACCACATAAACTAATTTCATTCGGCCCATGGATAATATTTTGGTCAAGGATGGATACTAGATTGGACGATATGAATATTAATCCGGGTTGATTTCTCTATTTCATGTTAGAATAGTTGGTGAGTAGCATTAAATACTCAAGATCTCTCTCATGTGAAAATTTATCAAAAGCAGCAGATGGTGGGCCATAGGGGTGGCTATTTGGACCGGGACCGGATTAAAAACCGGAAACCGGACCGTATAACCCGGACCGAGACCGGACCGGGACCGGATAGTAAACAATCCAATCCAATCTTTGGGTTTAGATTTGAGGTAAAAAACCGGATAAAGACCGGATAAGAGAGCTCAACACCCAAAACTTAAGGGTAATTTGCATAAACGGTCACAAACCTTTGCACTTAGTACAAAACTTAACCAACTCCTCACCCTTTAAGGCCTTAGGCCACTCAAATCCCACAATCTCAATGTAAAATCAAGACCAAATTGGGACCGGACCGGATCAAAACCGGACCGGATCAAGACCGGACTGTATCCAATCCAATCTTCGGTCCTTATATCTTCAAAAAGACCGGACTGGACCGGATCAATTTGGGCCAATTTAACCGGACCGGACCGTATAGCCACCCCTAGTGGGCCATGCTTTTCTCTCTCTTTTGTCAACTCTGACGGATATTAGTTCGTGTATTTTTGGATATTTATTTGTCTCGGCTGGATACGAGTTATCTCAGCGGCTCCCTCTCTCAATCCCGCCCAAATTAAAGGTGGACCCAAACCATCTTTTTCAGCTTGATCAACTAAGTCGGCTTGTGCAAAAAAATCTACAAACAGCTCACTTAAATGAGCCATGGCTGGGCTGACCTCCTCACCCTTAGATTAAAATTGGGTCTATGTGGACAAATCTGAGCCTTGTGAGCAGATTAACTTTTGCGAATTGCAACACCAGAACGGGGCTCACAGTCCACACACGGCGCGCGCCTCAATCGCGAAGGATGTGGCGGGCATGTGGCTGTGGTTGTTACCTTGTTGGTTAGCTAACCAGTTCGTAAATCGGTAACGAGAGCGAGAGCGGGAGCGAGAGCGAAAATCGAAGAACGTTTAGTTTTCAAAGACCTGATATTAAGAGTGTGATAAAAGTGTCATTATTATATTAATATAATTTACTTTAAAATCATAAAAATATATGCATTATTATTAAGTAAAGCAACAAAAGCATATTTTATATCAATTATTTAAATTATTTATTCAATTCACACACTTCAATGTTTTCATGAGCATAGTTAGTAAAATACGATACG